ATGATTTGAGCAAGTACATTTCAAATATTGAAGTGTAGGTTTTCACACACACAAAAAGTTTTTGAAAGTGAAATTATTTGTCATGACCCATATTATTAATAATTTACAAAATTCTTCTTCTTCTAATCTGACATGTGAAATTGTTAATCAAGTTATCAAGATGTAAAAGTAGTAATATATCTGAGGGTCTTGTTACATTGTGAATTATCATGCATATGAGAATTTGTATACATCTGACATTACTTGTTGACCTCACTGGCACCAGATATCAATCATATCAATTTGACAAGATAATTGAAAATGTTATTTCCAACCAAACATTTGGTACCCTGAGCATCGGCCTATGTTGCCTATGCATCAATCTGCCACTGGAAATATCTCATGAGACCTTACCCTCCACATTAAATTGGCTGGGATTAGATATAGCAATCTCAAAAATGGAAGATGATCAGTGTGTCCACCAAACCATAAGTGTTGTCTCAGTTGTAATAGAAGTCCATTAGTGTGAAGAGCTTAATAGTGGATAAATATTACATATGAATAAGAATTAAGTGGTACTGTTTGAAGAAATTTTCGTTCTACTTAAACACTTTGTAAAAACTTGAGTTGCATGCAAATGAAATGTATAATAGGAAATTTGGTGTTAGTTCACATGCTTTACTGTTCCAGAAAGCAGTATGGGGAACCCTTACAGTGTAAATTACTCACAATTCTAATTATATAAATAATCACTTTAAATTTGGATGCTCAATGAATTTTTAAATTCACTGTTCTATTCTACAAGGTGGATATGAAATTTACATAAATTAATTCATTTAAATGTTTTTTACGGATTAAATCCTCTACGCTCATCAGGACACCCCGATGTATATGACCAGTTATATTTTCCCCAGGGTTTATGGTCCTGCAAACTTAAAATGAGTAGTGTGTGGAATGTTCTGGTGAACATTATTTTTGCTGGCTATATAATGCCACCACATTCAGGTATTTTTAAGACAAGTAAATCTTTAGCATCTTTTTTACTTTTAGGTTTTTTATTCCATCTGAGTTCATCTACTTCTCAATTGAATTGAATACATCAACAGTGACTTAAATATACAGTTCGACCATTTAATAATTGTGCCAGTTGCGCGGGGATTTTGCCTCGTCGAACGAGACCACGGATACCGGAGAAATGGAGACAGGGAGGGAGGTCGGTAGAATCGCCGAGGAGCAAGATGGCATTTCGTTACCTTAAATTTTAAATTGTAATCACGTTATAATCAGGGGCATATCCAGAAGATAACTTTCGTGAGAGCCATCGTAGATTTTTATTGAATATTAAAAATATTTATTATATTATATATTTTTGAATATTTATATCAAATTTTTCATTATATAATTTTTATGATACTGTACAATATTATTTTTAAATAATTACATAATTCTAACATAAATATTTAAATAAATTTTGGCAAACAAAAGAAAGGTAATCGTTTTTGTGTATGCCTTGGGGGGGGGGGGGTCATGGTCCCCATGCTTCGTTGCCAGTTATGGTTCACTCAGTATAGGATGCCCAATGCTATTGCAGAGATCTGTTCCTGTATATTGTGCCATAATTCTTCCGTGTGGGGATTTGTCGCATATACGTGATCTTCAGGAATCCCTTCGGAAAGAAATCGCACTGAGTCGGATCAGGAGGGCGTGCAGACCACAAACCATGTGTGATAATTCTGTTTTCATAAGCGGCATGTTAAGCCTTAAGGAAATTGAAGTAGTGTGCGCGATTGCTGAGTCTTGTTGAAAATGACCGTAATTACACTCATTTGTCAACATTTGGAAGAAAGGCCCCAGGATACGATTCATATAACGGTTTAACACATTGCACATATTGTACTGAGAGTGAACTTCGAGTAAGCCATAACAAACCGAGTATTCAGCAAGACTGGAAACTATGCCTTTTGCAGGGCGAGATCTTCGAACCTATTCGTCCACTACGTTTCCAGAGGAGTTCAGCGCATCCTTCCTCGGCGATTGTCGGCCAGTCGGTCGAGCAGAATTTTCGGCGATCGCAGAACACTAATAAAATAGTCGCACTGTATTTCAATTATACTTCAGAAACATTCTGTGATGTTGAATAGGATTTTCTTCTAATTCAACCATTCATAGTCCCAATAGAATATTTTTTTTGCTTAAAATGTTTGTGATTTACTTTTGTAATTTTGTGAAACTTCTTTCATGGTGTGGCATTTTTACTTTCTCGCGCTTAAGAAGGTACTTCGTAAGAAGAGGGAAATTTTGTAATGCTGCCCGAAAAAACGGTGAATGTTCGGCAGAAAAACTCTTTATTACAGGGGCTTGGTAACGGAAAAAGTGGATAAATAGTCGTTAAATTAAAAAAATCCTCTTAACACGTGGTGTAGCCAGAAACCCTGTTTTGTGGGTCCTTCGTACCGAAAAATCAATTGACGACAAAACGTCTGTTAACAATGCTAGCGGCTAAACTGTTCAACCGATTTTCTCCATAATTGATTTTCCCTGATCCATCTGGCTGATGTCGTCGCCTCTTGAATTTGAAAACGATATTTTAATTTTGGGGGGTACTTCACATAAAGCCCCTGAGACATTTTCAAAATGTTAAAGAAAATGGCGCAGGCGATTTTCATTAAATTATGTTTTTGGATAGTCTGAAGAACGTTTAAGGGAATGGTGCAAGTCTCATATTGGGTAAAGGCTGAATTTGTTCAATTTTTGAAAAAACAATTTTTTTTTTGGCATCTTCCTACAACTATAATTATGCAATTGGATGTTACACAAGTTAGAATTTGTATATTATTTTTTATTATTATTATTATTATTATTATTATTATTATTATTATTATTATTATTATAATTATAAATGTTATTTCATTTTCCATTGCGTCCTTTAATTATGTTGAATGTGAAAACAATTAGATGAGTAGTCATTGTTGGTTGTTGCTACCCATTGTTGTAACGCTGCACAGATAACAGAACCAATAATGAAAGCTGATTTCATTTGCGGTAATAAAAACAAATAATATTATATATTTATAGAACATTACAATACCATAGTGTTTAATAATTACTAATATATATTTTTTCATCTATTTGCATTTGTTTGCCAATGCTATCAGTATCATATTATTTATTAACATTTAATTATTTTACTTTCTCGCATTCTGCTTATTTTTCACACCAAATGTTCTACGATTTCAAAAGAGTTTTACAACAAATAATTCGGAGAGAAATTGTGGTATAAATAGTATTACATTACAATTACTGATGGCAAGAAAGTACTTGCTGTTTTAGCACCACTAGTTATTCAATGCGTATGGAATATATTTCTGTAGTTTGAATTGAATTGTATTGTAGGATTGTATACTAAATCATTTAAAATTCTTGTATTTATAGTATTGTTGAAAAGTCACTTTAGACAAAGTCATGTGCAACTTTGAATGTCTTTTTCCATACTATTATAAAATATGTAGTTAGGTGTCAGAAAGGCTAGTTCATACGCCATATATTTGGTCTTGCTTTCATTTGTTCATGAGATAACAAGAGCTACCTTTCTTCTAATTTTTTTATGTCAAGAGCATTATTGTAATATGTATTAACAACTTGTAAACCGATTTCCTCAAATTTTGTATTAATATTATTTTATTTTATATAAATTGCTCATAGAACAGGGTTGTCCAACCTGCAGCCCGCGGTGCAAGTTCTTGTTGCCCACGAAAGATGTTTATCAAAAGTTTGTCTCGTACATCCTTGTTGGGTGCGAACATTGTGTGCCTAGCATATGTACACTGCCAGGGTTGACATCCCTTAATGTAAAAATAGGTTTAATTTTGATTTATGGATTTTTTCTAGTAAATTCAGAAATTCAATATCGTCTTGATATTTTTCATTGCGTTGTGTGTGGTAATGCCTGATATAATGCATGGTTTCGTTCATCACCACCCCCTCCTTTCAGAGCAGCAAACAAACTGTCAAGCTCAACAATACGGGGAAGTCAGGTGTGGATCGCCCGAGAAAAGAAAACATGGTGCGCAACGATATAAAAGGTTTTAGTTGTTGCCCTCGAGGCCTTGCAAGTTGGACATCCCTGTCATTGAATAACTAAAAACTTTATGAATGTCCTCTGAAAATTGTAATATTCAGACGTGTCTGATCAACGTATACATTTTTACAGCATTCGCATAAGTTGATACCTGAGAAATAAATCCACAATTACTGGTATAATAAAAAGCAAGAGTTCCAATTTGCTGAATCATTGTGTTATGTAATAATGTTGGATATTAAAAGATTAAAAACCATAAAGAAAGAAGTTTGTCCTTGTCAGTAGGTACTTCATGTGAATTGTTGAAGGAAACATTCCTTATCAGAATTTTTCTTGTAAAATGCTTTTAAAAATATTGTGGAATATCATGTTCATTTGATTATTCATTATGATTATATATTGATAAACTTAATACAAAATAAACGGAATTTTTGTTTTAATTATCATAATATATTTTTATATTCTTAATTTCACAATTTAATGTTGAATTTTGGCTAGTTATGGACTTTGAAGTATTTTGGTTAGGTAAGGGCATGTCTTAGACAGATTTGCATAAAGTATTGTGTTCTGTAGGCAGAGAACTTAAACTACTTATGGAATTGGAATTTCTTTCCTCATTTTCCCTTTTAACTGGCTGGACCTTTTTTATTGAGGCACACATGGTTGCATTTGTTTCATATTCATTGAAAGATGTGAACGTTTTCTTTTCAATTATGTAGGCACATCACCTTGTTTTGGGGTATTCGAATGAGGAATAATTAGTACTGAGAATTCAGTGTTTTCACGTATATTCTCTAATTTTTCTATTAAAATTTGTGAGTTTTTCATAGTTAATAATACAAATCAAAATTTGAATAGTTATTTTAATCTTTATATTGTAGAATGCAGATTAAGATATTCATAAAAGTACAAAAATAATGAGAAATACTTATATTGTTTTCAGCTCAGGACGATTATCGTGTGAAGGCTGAGTCACAGGAGAAGGAACTTTTGGAATTGCAGACAAAAGTTGAAGAGTTGCAGAGAATGGCAGATGAAGCGCAACACTTGAAAGATGAAATTGATGTTCTAAGGGAAACAGCAGATATGGTTGGCAAATATGAAGCTACTATCGAGTCATACAAGAAAAGACTGGAAGAACATGGAGATTTACGAAGGCAATTAAAAATTCTTGAAGAAAAAAATACAGATTACGTTCAACAAAATATGGAACTTGAAGAAGTAAGTGAACCATCAACATCCTTTATTTTATAATCTATCAAATTGTTTGATTATGAAAGTGTTATCATTTTAAGTTGCAATAAGTCTTTGGCCAACACACTGTCAGGTCACCCTGATTGTAGTTCACAGGGCAGGCAGGAGCAGTGCTTAATTGATCCTCATTAGAAAAAGTTACACAGTATTGTAAATCTCAAAACAACCAACTGTTTCTATTCTCCTATTTTAAAAGCAATTAAATGTTACATATACTTTTCATTTCTCCTCTCCTTAACACATTACCAACGTATTTGCATGTGGACAAAAACGATCATTATACAGATAAGTTGCATTTTTGAAATACATGAGGATCAGGAGGTGATCTCTGTGCAATTGGGAAGTCCATAAGTATTTCGCAGTTGATTTCTAAAATTTTATTTAATTCCTATTTCAATGTATTTTTTTATGTACAAGGTATACATTTTCTTGTTGCAAAAAATGTAAAAAGTTTTTGTTTCAGGAAATGAAGAAAAATAGCGTTGTAAAATCACAATTAGAACTATACAAAAAACAAGTCGCAGAATTAGATCATCGTTTAAACGAAGAAACGAAGCGAGCAGATAAAGAGGAATTTGAATGCAAAAAATTACAAGAAAGATTAAATGCCATCCAGAGAGAGAAAGAGGTGAGAATATTGAAACGAATCTATACGTGTATTCCATGCTACACTCGCCCTGCTAATTCTTTGCCCTTTTTGTCCCCGATGAAGTAATTATCAACTTTGACCATAAAATACTTTAAGCCTATTTGAGAATGAGTCAAAATGCATTTATTAGGGCATTTTTTGGGCTAAAAAATCTTAATGAGGAGTTAAGAAGTATCAATATGGAAAATTTTTTGAAAATTAGATAATTGGTTGAAAGTTCATGCGGGACCATTGTAGATTTATATTGTTATCGGAATAGATTCATATAGCATAAATAAATATATTCACTTCCAAATATATTTAAATGTAATGGAAACTATATCCAAAAATAAATTCAAAATGTTGTGAAAAATAACATGTGCATTTTACAATCGGAATATTTTTACATCAGAGTTCTAAAATTAATGTGTTACTCATATTGAAACCTTCAATAAAACTTTCATATGGCTTGGCTGAGGTGTTTGAAAACTCATTTCCATTCAATTTTACTGGATCCCATTATCCCAGAATGGTAAGAAAAAGTAAATATACTATTTCTTGAAGATCAAATTAAAAGTTTTAATGTGAAGATGGACATTTTCAATTATTACTCACATTATTCTTTCAGATGAATCATTTCTGTAATTATTTATACACATTAGGTTCGTATGTCCACTAATTTGAAATTCTTATTAAATTTTCCTCTTTTGTTTTCACTTGAGGTTTTCATAGCAAATACTAAATGTGATACAAACATTCTGATGTCCACCCTAATTGTATTTAAATTATGGAGTTAATATATTTTGATCCCTTCCTACTCTTACATATTACTAAATAAAATTACGTATAAATGTGCAATAATTTAAATGTAACAATTACTGACTGAAGTAATGGCATCCATGACAATAATTTTAGTGTTCTTCATTCTATACAAACTACTATAACATCAAAAACTGACATTTCACATTTAAGCTCTTTTATTCGTTTTTCAACTAATCAATGTGTTTCATAATGTAAAGATGTAAAAGGAGAGTCAAATTTAACTTTCCTATTCAACAGGTGTAATACATTTCTTTTTTTGATAGTGTAATGACGTTTGCCCCTTTAATAATAAATGTACTTTCAAGTCTTTAATTGTAATGGTGGATTCAGAATTTTTTCTGTTCAGATTGTACTTTAGATTCAGATTATTGCTTCCATATGTATGACACACATGATCCGTTAGAATTTTTCTTCCATTCCATTCATATAATGTAGAACACTTGTTAAGAACAGTATTGTATCATCTATGGAATGAAGTGTTTCCATAATGGATCCTTGTTGAACTTAATTAGTAGACTTTCTTCACAAGAATTTGTTCTTCAGAGCTATCTCCGTCAACATTGCAGTAGTTTCCCCATGTTCAAGATGTAGAAATTTGGAAGACACTTTGCTTAAAATTGTGGAGAACGTTTTGTCTGGTCTTGTCCAATTAATTGCCAGTGTATAGATTTGTACTTGATTTATGTGTTGGCATTAAAAAGTTCAAAACAATTGTTCAACACACTTCAAAATTGTACTTGACAATAATATACATTTGAAAGCTTGGAAGGTATTGTTCCTGTCTTTGAACCTTAAGGTATTGTTCTGTTGATTACTTTTCTAAACCATGCAAGCCAGGTTATTTATCTTGATTTGAATTCAAGTTTCTTTTTACTTGTAATAAGAAAACATTGTATTAATATTTCAGCGCTTAATTGTGGAACGAGACTCTTTAAAAGAAACAAATGAAGAAATGAAATGCTCCCAACAACAAATGCAGATTCGAGGAGTTGGTCCTTCAGGTGCTCCTGATGGTTTGATGCCTGAAAGTGTTACTGAAAATATGATTCCTCCAGAAGTCAAGTAAGAAACTTTCAGTTTTAATTTCTTCAGATTTCTTAGATTTTTTATTCAAACTTTTATCTTTAAATGATGTCAAGCAATAATGTTTAGAAAATATGAGTGTTATTTGTGTAATTTTTAGTGACATTGTGTTATTTAAAAATATACATATAAACAATTTTCCCCATAAAGGCTCAAAACTTTTACTTTATAATTTTTGCTTGAATGGGGGAAAGTTTACTTAATAATATGGCATAAATCAGCCCCCCCCTTCTTCCCCTTCAATATTGAAACTAGAGATTTCTGTGTTAATGCAGGTTTTTAAAAATATTCGTGTTTGTTGAGTGTTTTTTTCTCCTTCTCTCTCTCTTCTCTTCCTCCCTTGCTTCGTAATTATGGGTTATATGGTAATAAACTTTAAATTATTTTATCGAACCGATACCTTCAAAATTAAAGGTAGAGATTTCAATTCTTCGCACAATATATTCCTCAACATTAAATTATTTAATGTTGTCTATTTTACTTTCTTGTCCTACTATGTCTACGTAGTAAAGAGAAAGTATTATTATGATGCAGCGGAAATCAATAATTTTTCAAACAAAAAATTGTATTGTCGGGCCCTGGTAAAGAATAGTGGATAATTCGTGTATCTATATGTAGTAAATAACTCCCTCTATTCTCGGATTTAATTATTGTGACTTCTGTCATTCAATCAGCTGGGATGCTGTTGTCTAATGCGGTTGAATAACCGTGACCAGGTTACAAACGTCAGAAGTCACTGTATTTAAAGCAAAGTATAACACCTTGCGTAGTCAGAATCCATCATTAATGGATCCTTGGTGCCGAAAAATTGATTGACAACAAAACGTTTTTTCTCTCTTTCCTTCCATCTGACCCCCCCATTCGTAAGGTCATTCCCTTGCCCTTTGTTAAAATGCTCTGCTTTCCCAGTACTCAGTCTATTCCTTCCATCCCCACAACAAGCGACCCTCCCCGCGATAGCTGGAAGGTCCATGCAGAGCTAGCACAACCCTCTCGCTCATTGGAAGAGTGTTGGACAGGTTTGATGTAAATGAACTCAAAGCCCAGGTACTTTCCGGCTTTGACAGAGTCACAGGTCATTTTCATTGAAGTCTGAATTTTCAAAAATTGCAAAAAGTGTGTTTTTTTGGGGCCTTCCTACAAGTTCAGTATCGTGGATATAATTTTCTTTTGTAATGAAATCTGTTGTTCAGAGACAGATATTGGAATAAGGTCACAGTTTTCAAAATGTACTTGTAGTTTACACGTAATTTTGCATGAAATATAGGCAATTGAAAAAAAAATTATTTTCTTAAAAATGGCTCCAAATTCTTTCTTTATATTTTCTCTTCGTATGTTGCAAAGGGCGATAAAAAATGGTGGTTGTCCCATTTTCAGCGACCTATCTCTATTTTTGAAAAATTGCAAGAAATTGACATTACAGAAGTACAATAATGGAAATTATTTTCTTAAAATCTGTTTTAAAAAAATGAATCTTTATGTAAGTGAGAGTACAATTTAAAAAAATTAAAATAACAGTAGTTGTGATATTATTTCTGCTCTACGTTCATCCAATTTATAGACAAAATTCTGAAAAATGGCCCCAATTCTTTCCATCAATTTTTTTCCATGAATAGATCAGAGTTCATATAAAAATGCGGCAGACATTTTGAAAATTGCACAAGTTTAAAAGAATGCTAGAAACTACTAGTTTTTTAAGCATTGGGAAAGTTGAATGTAGCCTTGTGACTGGTGGTGTGTCATAGTGGTAACTTGCCTGCTAAGTTGATTCAAGGACTTGAGTTCAAATCTCGGCACATAAAAAACATTTTGGCTGTTTGCAAGCACTTGTGAGTTCATGTAGTAGTATAAGCGTAGCCATGTCAAATAATAGAAAAAATATGTGTTGTTGTTGCACACCTTGTTTCGAAATATTAGTAATTTTAGCGTAATTTTGAGTTCTAGCATTTGAGTTTAACTGGTGGCGGTAATATTATGAAGGATAGAAGGTGCAATATTATATTGGGTAAATGTTATCAATTATATGTGGCTGTATGTGCTGTTGTAGTACCTTAAGTTTCTATATGAAATCTACTTTTCAAAGTCTTTTTATTTATTTTTAGTTAGTTTTGAAGTAATTTTAAGTCAAATAGTGAGGATTTTCTCACAAATGGCTCCAAATATTTTGTTAATTTTTTGCTCAATTACAGTAAAGTTGTACTTATATCTTTTGTATGTATTTAATTTTCATTAAAAGCTTTAATATTATTAAAATTGCCAAAATTCATGTCTTACTGTCTCGTATTTTGAATGTGTTTGAATATTGAAGTTACGTATTTACTTCTTAATGCAATTTATCCTCTATTATAGATAATGGAATTCTTTCATGTATACTTCTACTTTTTGTGTACTAAATACTTGCATAATAAAGAGAGATCATATTGTGGGGTTGATCTGAAAAGTGGAGGAATTTTGTTCCTATATATGTAGTAAATTACTTCCACTAACACCTTATAGAGTTAGAATTGAGAGAACCTTATAGAGTGGTTCCTTAATACCAAAAAATTGGTTTACGGTAAAACCCCTGTCGGTCCATTGCAGTCCATGAAAAAAAATTGAAAATTTTTAAAAAATTCACAGAGTTACGAAAATGAAACCTAGGCCAGTTTTTAAGATTTCTTTTTTCTCTCCAAAGGGAAAAAAAAATTAATCCAAAGATTTGGAGCCATTTTTGAGAATATATTGAAAACATGCAGGCTTCATTGAAAGTACTCCCAAAATTCAAAAAACCTATTTCAAATCGGGCCTGAGTTTGGCCAGATCAATGGGGAAAACATGAATTTTGGAGAAAATCATCTGAACATGTTAGATATTTCTGTTGGCCACAGACATTTTGCGGTAAACCAATTTTACTTTATCAGAAGCCCAAAATAAAGATTCTGGATACACAACATACTAGAGAAAGTAATTTACTACTTATAGGAACAAGAATTATCGACTTTTTTGCTAACAGGATCCACAAAATGAGTTTTTCTGGGGGAGGGGGGGGGGAAACCATTAACACCATTTTTGCCACAGCATTACTATATTTTACCTACACTATGTAAGTGATATGTGAGAAAGTAAAATGACCCACCTGAAGTGACTCATTCTCTATATTATACCAGAAGTTATTCATCCTGTGTATTTGAACAATCATGATTCTTGGTTTATTAATCTTTATGAAAATATTTTAATGCTTTCAAAAATCTGATATTATTTTTACAATGTTTTTGTTTTTGCAGAGAAAGATTGGTAAGACTGCAACATGAGAATAAAATCCTTCGTTCCAATCAACGTTCACAGGAAGATGAAAATGTCCAAGTTCTGAAAGAAATGTTGGAGAGTGCTAAAGAAAGAGTTACTCAATTAAGGCAAGAAAAGAGGTAAATATGCTGCTAATAATTTAAAGACTAAATTCCCAAAATTGGTTCCTATAAACATTACCGAGAATATTAATTTTTTTATAATTATGGGTAATAAAGGCACATGATCTAATGGGATTAGATTTTTACCTGCTAGTTTCCAAAATATGTACATTCTTATGTTAGTAAAACCTCCAAGTATGTGGGAAAGAGAGGATAATGTGTGGTAAGAATAAAAAATTGTTTTGCTAATACAATGATTAGACCGCAAAACTTCTTGCAATTGCATATTTATACTCATTGCACTTATCGAAAGGAAATGTATATAACTTTCTGTCACTCAAAATAAAATAAATCTAGCTCTTTTTTACTTTACATAATTGCATGTTTTTGAGATGTTTTCTTTAACTGCATGTGTTAATGTATGTAGCATATTTAAGTGCATATATTAGAGGTTTCAGTGTAGAAGTGGGTTGAAGTCAGATATGTTTCTGTATTACTCTTTGAAAAGAAAAGTGATGAAGCCATGCCAATGCTACCATACCAACATAATATTTCTGATTGTCTACTGTTAAGATTGTTTCCGCTTGAATCTACTTACTTTCTGTAACTGCATTTGTTCGCATCAACTTAGTGAACTGGGCTGAATGTTTCGGCATTGTGCATCAATGCTATTAGATCTTGCTTAATATTTTTGTTTATTATAATGTTTAAAAATATATTTTTATTATACGCATTTTGTACTACAGTGTAAAATGAAGATTACTTAAAAATAAATGTTAATTGTTGCTAGCTATATTTTTGTTCAACGCATATTTTTAGTTTTAAGAGCATATATAAGCTATTTCAAGTGCATATATTGCAAATTTTAAGTGCATGGTTGCATGTATATTTTAACTTGTTTAGTGCATGAAGTTCCAGGATTAATCATGATTGTTAGTGAGTTCATTTCAACTGATCTTGTTTTCAAAAAATATTTGCTTTAATATTGGCATTATGTGTTACTACAAAGGTCATCTTCAGATTGTTCTTCACAAATCTTTCTTGATTTTCTTAAAGAGGGCTTTACTGGGAGTGGCGGCTTAGGGCATCAACTGATATTGCTGCAGTGCCTCTGACCGGGAGGTCCTAGGTTCAAGTCCGGTGGTGGGATTTTCCACACTAGCTCGTCAGCTAGGTCTAATTCACTGTCTGGAGGAAAATTCTTACGACAGACTGCTCTGATAGTTTTCTGTGGTTTCTCTAATCAACAGGCAAATGCCGAAGCAATACCTTAATAAACATACCATGGATTGTGTACAATCTTTCCTTCCTCTGCCTTGTCCTATCCTGATTCCTTACTGACACACACACTAACATGCACTACACTACCACTCTTGCTGGAAGACTGGCCGGGAGCTTAGAGCTTGTCCCGACTGGGACGGTGCCCTGCTTGTGGGAGACACCTGGTCAGAGAAAACTCCACAAGCTGTTGTTAGATCAGTGCCGGATCTTGCCATCCAGCTGGGGAATATTGCCGCTGCCTGCCGAGGAAAAAACATGCACTTCATTTATGGACTAATGGCCTTAACTGTTTGCGCAACCAGGATCACTAACAATCAATCAATCATTAAAGAGGGGTTTATGATAGGAGAAAGAATGTTCATCACAAGATGTGATTACGGCATATTTCAAACAAACACAATCATTTACATATGTGTCAATTTTCTCCCTCCTTTGCCCTTTCCTGAATTCACAAAATTTTACCAATATCTAGAAATCCTTGTTTATGTTTTTGAAACAAGTCATTAAATGTGAATGTACCACTTCAGCATGTAGAGCTGGCAGATTTTTGTCAGTTTTCTTCATCCTGAGAAATTTCACTTTCTGACATACAGAATTATTATGTTTTTCTAGTTTCTTAATAATCTTGATCAAAACACAGAAATTTGATGAAAGACCAAATGGTTTTTAATATTTGGTCCATTCAACAGTGTCTAGAATTTCAATTAAAAAAGCATAATTTTTGTTCAGTTCATTGGCAAGATGTAAAACCTTCAAATTGTATACTAAGTACTCAATGACACTCAACCACATCCCCTAACACATTACCACTGGTTGCAGTGGAATAGAAATATTATATTTCCTATTCCTGCCTATATAACTGACTAGTTTCATATTTCAAATCTGTGCTCACTCTGGGCTGATCTGACTCAACGGAAAGCAGAAATGGCTTTCTTGAATGATGTTAGGAACTCTTTGACTTACTCTATTTCAGAGTAAGAAATTTAGTTTGAAAAATGAAAAAAATATATTCTGAGGTGAGTTCATTTGTACCTGATATAGATATAATTTCAATTTGTTTATACAAGTTTGACTGAAAGTTTTACATTATTTATTCAGGTAAATTGTCGTGAAGTTGAATGGTGTTTTAACAGTTATTTGTATATTTAACATTTAGATGAAATTGCTCCTGAGGCAAAGGAAAAGAAATGCCTTGAAATATTGGAAGAGAGATTTCAGGGTTTCAGTCATTAAAAATTCATTCCACATGCTTATGAATAATTAGTATTCCATTAAAGTACTATAGCTTTACTTGTGTGTTATGAATATGATTGCTATCTTATAATTTTACAGAAATGCTCAGCAAAGAATTCTGGAACTAGAAAGTCAAGTAGAAGAAATGCAGGAACGTGATGGTGGAGGAGGAGCTGGGCTACGCCAACATCTTACAGATATGCAAAGTCAGTTGCGTGTTTATCAACGAGAAAAGGAAGCACTGACATCTCAGGTGGAAGAACGCGATGTATCCCTGAATGAGTGTAGTATGTAAAATCTGAAGTGACTATGTGTTTTTTCACTATTGACATATGCAATATAAACATTTAACTAATGTTGTTTTCACCGTGTTTCAGAGCAAAAAATTGCTTCATTGCAAGATGCCCTGCGACAGAAAGAATCAGAAATGCAAAAATTGGAGGAACAACATAAAAGAAATATAGAGAAGGCCAAGAATGTGATCAAAACTCTTGATCCTAAGCAAAATCCTGTACCAGCTGCTGAAGTAGCTGTCCTAAGGAATCAGGTCTTGGAGAAAGACAAAATTATTGAAGATATGGAGGTTGGTCTTGGGGAATATTCCTTGTAATGCATTATTTTCAGAGAAATTACTCAATTCTTAATTTATTTTTCCATTCCAGGAGGAAAAGGAACAAAGTAAAGCATTCCGAGATATTGAAAATAAACTAATGGTTTCAGCATTCTACAAACTGGTAAGTATATTGGTGCCTAGAGCTGCAACCAGGATTTTTCTCGGGAAGGGGAACGAGTATATTGTCCAGCCAACTTGCTGTTTTCTTGCAAAGATTTTTCATTTATGCCGAATGTAAAATGTATTTTTATTTGTTGACTTACAATTAATATTTATAATGTTAGCTATTGATATATCGAATGACTTTCATTGGTACAGAAATTAGTAAATGATGCAATTTTGAATATATATATATTAATGGCCTCGAGCCTATGAGACTCCCCTTGCTGTTGGTGTTTTATGTGTTAAAAAATTATAATTTTCATGAAATTATATGACATGTAAATTCAACATTTTATTTCTATCATCCTTGTGGATTAATGCTTTATAATCATTTGATATTTGAAATTTTATTACTGCAGAATGCAGTATTTTCTACTAATATATGTTACTCTCAAAACTTTTTTGATGTTTTAGGGTGGAACTCGTCAGAGGGAATCTGTGGATCATCGGCTTGCAACATTGAGTTCAGGACAAAATCAGTCATTTCTAGCCCGACAACGCCAAGCAGCTGCCCGAATTGCCCCTGTGGATCTACATTAACTTAAGAGTAAATAGACGTAGTATTTTTTAATTGCCTCAAGAATTGACATATGGTTAATTTATTTTGGTCAAGTAGTTTTCCAGACATTGTCATATAATGTTGAATAAACATTGGTAAACTAAGAGGACAAATTTGTGTCTGACAATAGTACTTGACTCTCAGTTGCAATATTCTGTATGGATACTTTTGTCTCAAAAAAATTGTGCAAGACGTCGGATAGATCGAGGATAGCTCGAACTTGCCCTAAGGAAGAACGAAGAGTGAAGTATTCCATATTGACAGTCTATGGTGCTGCTAATATCTATGTCACATCTCAATACAGAACATTCTTGAAAGACTTTAATTGTAATTTATTGTACTAAATGCAAACAAACAAAAAATGTGTAAAAATTTTATATTGTACAGGGCCTAAAATTTTATATTTGTCTACAGTTCTTGTGTGTGAACTGAGTTCATGTCTAGTGGATATGTATAGGAAGTTGGATGTATCTTAATAATGATACATTTGATTAATAAATTATGTTACAAATTTTAGAACTGATGCCATTTTCTTATAAAGAAAATGAAGAATGTTTTTGTATTGTTTTGTTATTACTTATGGTCATGTTGCTCATTGAACATGAAACAAAAGAAATATTAAAACCAAACAAAATCCTATATATATAATAACTTATTTATAAATATATTATCTTGTATTTATTATTATTTCAGCAGAGTATTTATTAGCTGTTATTTTGAAGAAATTTTATTAACCTACCTCAGGTTTCTTTTGTTATGTATTAAAAATATGTTTCTTGATCTATCAGGATTAGCAGAAACCAATGTATTGCTGTGAATCAAAGAAACAAATTTGTATCAAGTTAAAAAAAGCTAGTTATAAGCATTTTTTTCTTTTTCATTAATGAAACTATGTTGACTGAAAAGAGACAGTACTTGCTTCCTCATAAATGTACTGTAATAACTTAATTTTTCAATTGCACCCCTTTCCATTCTCAAGAAGGAAATGAAAAATACCACTATCCTTGTCTGGAAGTGTTAAGTAATATTTTGATGGCTGATTCATGAGAAATCTGGAATCCCATATTTCTCATGCATTGTGCTAAAAGTACCTATATAATGTGTTTAAGAAAGCCTTCAAAAGATTACTGAAATCCATTCTTGTGAATGTTTGAAAAATCACAGGTCGTCAAAGCTAAATGCATTGCACTGAGTATATTCAGGTCTATATTTTTAGTAAGGGCTTTATAACAATTATTACTTTAAAATGTGATTGTAGTGATTTAGAAATATTCTCCCTTGGGATTACTGCACCATTTTTATCTCTGCATAAAGTTTCATAACAAGCACTGAAAGCCAATCTAATTTATGTGGGAACATTGAAGTGAAATAGTATTTAAATAGTCCATGACAATCCATGTTTAGAGGAATACTTTTAAACTTTTCTCCTAAACAAGGATGCAGATGATCAAATTAAGTCAATGTCAAATACAGAAACATTTCTGGTTGGTAGAACTGACAAGAAACCAATTCCCGGAAATTAATGAACAATTGAAGATTTTGTCAATGTTAACTTATCAGGTTATGATGTTATTGATTAAAAAATGAGTCATGGATTTATTTGAAAAAATTAATTTTAAATTTATGAGTTTATGAGAACTTTTTTTAACCAATGCAATTGAGAAATTTCTTCCTGGTAATTGAGTAAGTTATTGCCTTTCATTCTGGTATTGTTTATTTCCTCCCTTTGTGAATCACATTGATCGTATGCCTCTGTTAGTAGACACATTTTAAATATTTTTCAAGGATACTATTAAATATACGTGAATCTTTTCCTCAAATCCGGTTTTAATTACTCCTAAACTATTGAAACCATTTCGCTTTATCTGAAGCAGTTCAAGACGTTTTGTTTTGTTTTTACATATTTACCCTGCCCAAAATATATATACTTAGACATGGAGATGTAGTATTTGTATCTGGGTGCTCTGGGATTGAGAAGCACAAGGATTATAAAACACTGAAAATTCTAGAAAATAATATGACCAGAATGAACTATAGGAAGCTAGGTTATGCTTTACAAAAATCATACAGAGCCGTGGAGAGTTGAATGTGATGTAATAATTGTGGTATAGACGTTACTAGTGGTTAAAATTTTTAAAGCACAATTTATAATAATGTGAAAATTCACATAGTGTTTATTTAATTTGATTAACAGTTATTAAATTCAACATTGAATTCTAGAAAAATCTCTATACTCAACATGGAATTGTGTCAAAAATATTTTCATTGATTTTAAAACTGCTTGAAAAATACTATTTTTAAGTATAATTTATTTTCAATTGGGGCTTCCATTTGCTTTCCGGGTATAGTAATACCTTTAGGTCAATTGGAGGCTAAAATATAAGGTAGTAATAAATAGTAAAATGGACTACAAAGATGCAGTCTGATATACAGTTTGAAATATGTTGAGAATTGTTTTTTGTAACAAACGGGGTAGTTGAGGCTGAGAGGTAGCCTTTGCTGTGTCCTGCCTGTTTGAACTGAGTCCTTTTTGCTCAATCAAACATGAGATATTTACTAATGAAAATTAATTTGCTTATAAACTACAATATTGGAAAATTGAATGTTGTTTGTTTTTTTCTTCACATGCTCTTCTGGATAAAGCAGTTTTATATCTGATCGGATGTTTATTTCGCAGTAGTAAACAAAGAAATTGTTACATTTTCTGTAGTCATTTGAACAATTGCCACAGCATATATTGAAGTGAAAATGTTTTATGAATTATTCTTCAGAAAAAAAAGTTTATCAATAATCATCATCAGCATTAATCATTCCAACTCTTTGTTTCAAATGCATTTTTTTTAATTGTAGTTCGAGTGAAATCTGGCAGATATTACTATCTTTCAATTGTGTCATTTATCTTTTAATGCAAGACATAAAGTTTATTTTTAATCTTTCTAAAATTAAGTGACTACAGAGCTTTAGTATCGGTGGTCCTTTACCAATTCTTCTGTGTACTGTTAAAGGAAAAAAATAAACTTGTGAAGAAGAGCAGACATAATTATTTACCCTCTTAAAAACAGTAAAAGGTTTAGTGACTACTAATTATTTTATTTGTTTAGTACTGGCACTACCAGCCCACTTTGATGGTGCAAGCAAAAAGAAAAGTATCTCATTTTACTGTTCAGAAGATGGATCCAGACTTTCTAAAGAAAATGTTTATAACTGTTTTCTTCCATGCAATCAGTGTTTCAGTAGGTACTAGATTAACCCTTTTTTAATGGGATTGTTTGGATATACAGACAACTTCAGTTATAGTGAAGTTCTGGTAACATTTGAGTTATTCCACATTGAATATTACAAGTTGAAGGAAATTTGATGTTAATGTTCCAAATGTTTAACCTTTTTTATGAAGAATATAAGCAAAAATATGGAACACACATTTTTCCTTTGGTTTCAAAGATTATTTTTCTAGACATAATTAATTTTCAAAATTTTAGAAAACATGCTTACATTACTGGAGTTAATTGTCTGTAACTTGTGTTATAATTGAGGCAAATTGAATATTTTGGGACATCAAAGAAAAAGATGCTCTTTCATTTGATATAAGTATTGAATTCATTAAGTGTTTTGAAATGCATTTTTTTGAAAACTTATTTTTATTTGTTAAATATTTTTCGTAATCTGACAGACTAAAAATTCAGGGATGGATGAGAGAGAAAAAATCGCCTGAAAAATTAAATACAATAGAAATATATATTGCAGTTCTGTTGCAATGTCTGCCTGAGTGCTAACCTCTGAAGTACATGCGATTCAGTAATAGTTAATTACTTTCACACATTTAAAGAGTAGTGAATAGAAATATACCGTATTTACCCGAATATAAGACGAGGATTTTCCCCCGTTTTCATCCTTTAAAAATTGGGAGTCATCTTCTATTTGCGTATGAAGAAAACTCAATATCAACGGTATTATGTTGTTCCTGGTATAATACAAATTATCTTCACAAATAAATGCCATTTGTAATAGAAATTGCTCTTTTTTTTTTATTATTATTGGAGGACCGAGCTGACGTTCCGCCTCCATTCACGCGAGATTTCCGTCTCAGACTAATGTCGGTTATTCAGAAATATTCACAGTATTCTGATATCATTCGGACTCTAGGCTGGTGGTTTCGGTTTGCTCACAACTGCCGCCACAAGGAACACAGACGGCCCGGCAGTCAACTAGTCATTGAAATAGAACAAGCTGAATTGCTCGCAGCCAGAGTGGTATACAAGCAGAATCTTTCGCCTCTGAATTGCACTCCTTGCAGTCTAGGCAGGAAGTTGCAGTAAAGAGCCCCCTTGCCCCAGTAGCTCCTGCGTTGAACGCGGATGGCTTAATCAGAACTAGCGAGCGCCTAGCTGGGTCAAACCTACCATTCGATCAAAAGCACCAAATAATTTTGCCCTCTAAACATCACTTCACGAAGTCACTCATAGTGCATATGAATCACAAATTACTTCACGCAATCGGTTAGGGCAAGTATTAGAGGTATTTGACACCAAGTACAAGGCAAACAATACGAAATGTATCACGTGTTATAGGGAGAAGAAACTGTTCGCGACTCAGCAAATGGGTCAGCTTCCTAGTGCCCGGGTTACGCCATCTCAGGCATTTGACAACACTGGCATTGATTACATGGGTCCTATGGTCACCCGCCTCGGAGGGCCTAGATCACATGTTAATACAAAGGTCTATATTGTTATATTTGTCTATATGTGTACTAAAGCAGTCTGCTGCGATGTCGTTTCGGACCTTACTACTGCCGCGTTTCTTGCAGCATTAGTAGATTCGCAGGTGTCTCCTGCGGGCAATTTACTCCGACAATGCGAGTACATTCAAAGGAGCGGACAGGGAACGTGCAGAAGTATACAAATTTCTCGCAAATCCTGTGGTACAAACTGGGGTACTTAACGAGTCTCAATTGGACACCTTTCAATGGTAGATTCCAGTGGCAGCTGGTGCCACAACAGACTGGAGGTTGCACCTCCATCGAATGACGGAAATTAATTTCCAAAATTCAAAATACGGAAATATAAAAATGAAATCAATTAAAATTAATTAAAACTAGGTTAAATAAAAGTATATTGAATCATAACTTACATAATTTTATGTGTCGTGACCGAGTCAGGTATATAATAATAATAATAATAATAATAATAATAATAATAATAATAATAATGCCTTTATTAATGGCGAGGTTTTATTAAAACACCTCCCGCGCACGTGATTCTGGCTTTGATTTCCACTGGACACTTACGTTTGACTCCAGCAGGTCGCAAAAACCACTATTGTTTCAACACGTTTCACACAAATAAATTTATTTCGAAAATATCACTACCCTGGAATATTTTGTAACGAAGATTCTTCCATACACACTCTCATATTCCACCAGCGCTCTCCGTGATGCAACTACAGCCTGCTGCATCTACCGAGAATGGGACTTTCTTCCAGATCGGCTAACATTATACAAAGAATTCGTGTATATTTTAAATCAGTAAACCTACTATAAAATGAATATAAATTCTCTAAACACCAGAAATAATGCATAAAATTATGTCAATAATTGATTAAACTTGTGTACTTTCAATAACAATCGAAATTCATAAAATTACGTTGCAGCGAGTCAGACGAATCTTGGTATTCGCTGAGACTCCGTCGCCGCGCAGCGCTAAACGCCACTCGTCTGATTGCTCAACCGAAAGGCGCTATGTTGTCCGTGTTAAATCGAAGGGCCAAAGAGTAATTGCAGTAATACAGCCAAGATGTACGATGGTGTAATACTTGGCAAGGCATCCCGGAGAGACCGGCAGTTGGACGCTCTTTGATTTCAAAACAATTTCATATACATGGATATTGCAGCAATATCATATGTCATTGAATATTGAATGTCATTAAAAGTTAATTGTATATTCCTAAGATATTAAAAGATCTTTATCGATTATATCTGGGGGTGTGCAACCTACACGAGTCGTCACTGGTAGATTCGAAAGTTTCTTTAAGTTTTTGCCCCGTTTTTGTTCGTTACACAGAAGATACACTGAACAAATTCTAATTTTAATATATTTGCACACAATTTTCCACATATTTTATGTCACGAAGAGAGGACAAGAAAATAAAACGTAAGAAGAGAAAGTATTGCAACCGTAAGTTCTTTAAAAATTGGTCCAAAATTGACTACACTGTCATCGGATAACGTAAAGGACGGCTGAATAGTAGTGCATATCTCATTTTCGTTAAAGTCTCGTATTTTTTAAAAATTGCAAAAGTTCCCATTCTTTTCGGCGTCTTCCTACAGTATTGAGTATAAAGTTTTTTCCTTAATGAAATCAGTTCTTTAAAAACTGTTGTTTTTTTGTTTCGATTTTTCGAAAATATGAGCAGTTTCCGAGTAATTTTGCGTGAAACAAAGGCAGTTTTAAACAAATATATAAACGGTGTTCTCAAAAAACTACTACAATTTTAAGAAAATATTTTTCGAATAGAGCTAATCAGTAATTCCAAGTAGAAAATACGCAAACACTACCCGTTTCTTTAAAAAAAGACACTATTTTTTTGCAATTTTAGAATATACAGAATCTCCTCAAAATGGAACTAACACCACTTTTTTACCGGTCTTTCATACACACAGAGAGATAATTTAAAGAAAACATTCGGGACAGTTTTTGAGAAAATCATGGTTGAAAAATTTTCCAAATTTCATGCAAAATTGCGTAAAAAGTATTCATATTTTCGAAAAGTCGTACATGACGTTATTTGAAGATCTGTCTTTGAACATTTTTTATTTAAGAAAATAATTCTTCTCTATTGTAGTCATAGGAAGATGCTGAAAACATTTTGAGTTTTTGCAATTTTTGAAAAATTAGCTATTTCAAGGGAAATGAGACCTACGCCATTCTTTAAGTGTCCTTTATGATATCCGAGGACAAAGATTACATTAGGGGACAAGATTTTTACCTCCAGAAATGTAGTGTGAGCAACCATCAATTTCATGAGTAGATTACGAATATCACAATAAAGACGTCATATCACGTCACAGTTTTTAAATATACTGTATCGTATCGTATTTTGCTCTTAACGCACAAACGTAAGCTTTTGTACCTTTTTTCTTTCTTTCTTCCTCTTCTGAATTCGAAGGTTACCGTTTTATTCTCGTATCTGGTAGTCGCTCTTAACTACGAGTAGGTCTTAATGGTCTTAGGCTATATTCCTGTATGGTCAAGGGCTATACTTGGCTATATTCGAGAAAAAATATAAAGAAAAGAACCTCATGAATCCATGGACCCTACATGTCAACGGGGGACTGTTCAAGCTGGCGCAGGCTCTGTGATGGTATGGGGAGTGTGCAGTTGGAGTGATATGGGATCCCGGATACGTCTAGATTCGACTCTGACAGATGACACGTACGTAAGCATCCTGTCTGATCACCTGCACCCTAACATGTCATCCCGACGGACTTGCGCAATTCCAGCCGAACAATGCGACAGCCCACACATCCAGAATTGCTACAGAGTGGCTCCAGGAACACTCTTCTGAATTTAAACACTTCCATTGACCACCAAATCACCAGACATGAACTTTATTGGGCATATCTAGGATGCCATGCAACGTGCTGTTCAGAAGAGATCTGCCCCCCCCCCCACGTACTCTTACGAGTTTATGGACAGCCTTGCAGGATTCATGGTGTCAATTACCTCCAGCACTATTTCAGACATAAGTCGAGTCTATGCCACGTCGTGTTGCGGAACTTCTACGTGTTCACGGGGGCCCTACACGGTACAGGCAGATATACCAGTTTTTTTTTTGGGGGGGGGGTGGCTATTCAGTGTACAAGCTTACTTGGCTACATTCGAGAAAAAATATAAAGAAAAGATTGGAAGCCATTTTTTAAAAATGTTTGAAAATGTTGAGACATCATTTTAAGCACATCCAAAAATCAAAATATCAGTTTTGAAATCCACAGTGCTTCGAGTTCGGCCAGAACGATTG